TTTTTAATGAAAGGTTGACAATTTAAGAGGAGAAACAAAAACCTATCTATACATGTATTTCTAAAAGCCCTCAGGAGTGCTAAAGTAAAAACAAATGCACTGACATCCGGGAAAAATCTGAGTTATTTTTACAATTGCCCCTTGACACAAAGGTCACAATGGTAAAATTTCCTACAGTGAAACTAATGGATATAAGTGCATTACTCACCCATATTATACCATATGAAGTATCATGCAGCCCGAGAGAAAGACTGGTTGTAAAATCTATAAACTTGACCAATACAAGCTGATCTCTACTTCTTGTTAAGGATACTTTTTTTTTTTTCCCCTTAAGGGAGGAGAATTTTTTTAAAAAAGTGTTTGAACTGGGATTTCATCTTCTTAAAAAGCTTCTGCACGGCAAGAGAAATCACCAACAAAGTGAAGAGACAGCCCAGAATGTGGGAAAAAGTTTTTACCAGCTGTTCTTCAGACAAAGGTCTACGATGTAGAATATACAAAGAACATAAAAAAATCAGATCTCCCAAATTAAAAAACCCAACCCAAAAATGGGCATCTGAAATGAATAGACATTTCTCAGATAAAGAAGGAGAAACAGCAAATAAACATATGAAAAAATGTTCAACATCACCAGTCACTTGAGAGATGCAAATGAAAACAATGCTGAGATTCTACCTCACACCAGAGAGAATAGCTGCTATCAAGAAATCAGTAACAAATGCTGGTCAGTTGTAGGGAAAAGGAACCTTTCTCCACTGTTTGTGGAGTGCACGTTTGTAACAGCTAAAACTCAGAAACAGCCCAATTGCCCAGACTAGATAAGGACTAGATAAAGAAGATGTGTTTTATTTTTATATAAAATGGAGTACTTCTCAGCCATAAAGAATGAGAAACTAGAGACGTTTGTAGCTAAATAGATGCACACTGAGGCCATACTCATAAGTGAAATAAACAGGACAGAGGTGCAAATACCAAATGGTTTCTCTAGTGTGAGAAACTGAAAGTGTAAATAAGGATCCAAATGATTAACAGATAATGTGAAATAGGAAGAAAAGGTCAAAGGGTAAGGGGAAATGGGAAGGTAGGGGAAAGGAAAGAAGGGAAAGGAATAAATATAATAAAAGGAAAAAAATGGAAACAAAGTCTTTTTAAATAGGGAGGGGTAGAGGGGTTGAAGGTAGGGCAGAGAGATGGGGAAAAAATAAGAATTAAGATATATCATATAAAGGTACAAATTCCCAATGAAGAATATCACCATATTGTATACCTAAGATGTACCAATAAACTTAATGAATAAAAAACAAGTGTTTGAAAAAGAGTGAAAAGGTAAGTTCAAAACTATTAGCTGACAAATTAGGCTAGGAACACAGAAAAACATAAAAGGAAGTGTCCAAAACTAATTTAAAGAAGAAATAGGAAAAAAAAACCCAAGATATCAAGACAATTAAAAATTTTACTTTTTATTATATCTTGCTTCCTCTCTCCTAGTAGTAGATAATTTTGATCTAGAAGTGAACAAGGCATGTATAGGCTAACATAAGTCACATTTATACGTAATGATTTTCATAAAAAGGTCCCGCCTGCCAGAAGAAATGGGCTGATTCTGAGAGAGAGAGAGAGAGAGAGAGAGAGAGAGAGAGGGAGGGAGACAGGCAGTGGAGAGAGATGAACATTCTCTTATAAAAAATTCTAGTTAAGAAGTGTTCATTATGCTACAAATGACAGGTTTTTATGCTCATTTTCACAATCTTATATGGTACATATTATCATGTAGCTTAACAGATGACAAAATTAGGAGTAAGTTTCTCTAGGTTACAAAGTAACTGAGAGGCACAGCTATAATTGTAACCTAATTCTGTGACTCCTAAGTGTCACTCCTCCATAATTCTGCGTGTAATATACATTTGTTCAGACAAAGAAGAGTGACAATATTGAATTTCTCTTCAGAGAGAAATTTTCCAAGACTATTTTCCACTTAGCTGCTTCCAAATTATTGATTTGTTTGTAACTGCTGTCCTGTACTATAAAAATATATGCTCAATTTGGGGAGTTGGAAGTCAATAAGCATAATAGTTTTCTTCAATGATATTTACATCACTGATATATATATCAATTAAAATTAACATAACTTCATAACAGCCTGTCCCTGTGTTGTTAAACACTCTAATACTACATTGAATAGCTGTGAGATTCTTGATGAATATTACAAATGATACACCAGGTGAACTGTTGCTTCAGAATCAACACATCCTGCCAAAAAAATCCTTAAAAATCTTAATATAATATAATGAAATCATGTACAGACCCAGTACCACAGAAAGAGGAGGCAAGGGGTATACAGACCAATTTGAACATGAGTAAAGCAGTAGAAAGTAGAAATACTGAGTTGCCTTTTGAAAAGTAAAATTCCCTCAGTAGCTGGTGCTCATCAAAATTTATGATTTTAATCAACAAGTTCTATATAATGTTTCTACTTATTCAGTTAGAAAGGTAAAGGTATCTCTTTTTACTTCTTAGGATTTTAATTAACATAGAAAAAAAGAACATACACAGCTTCTTCTAGTAAAGCAGTTATGGCCAATAACATGGTATTTCTCCAGTTATAATTATTTTGCTATCTTTTTTTGTTGTTGTTGTTAATGGGGATCATTTTGCTATCTTTTTGAAAAAAATTACTGATAAGTTATTGGTAGCATATTAGAGAAAAGACAGCTAAGTTTTCCATAAATTTTTCACTTTTCAAGTAGCAATTGTATAGTATAATCTTAAAAAGTATAGTTTTCCCTCTCTCTCACCTGTGCCCCAACATTTTAGAGACAGAATTAATAGAGCTGCAGAATTTCACCACAAACCTTGTGTACTTGACCTTAGCCAAAAGGCTGAAAAGCAATACCACAAACTTTCTGAATACTTCAAACCCTAAGTGAGAAGAAAGGAGATGAACTGGAGAAGAAACCTCAAAATTTAAAGGAACTGCATTCAAAGAAAGTTATTTCATTACCCATGGGGAGAGGTCTGTTAACGAAATGTTCGTTTCTGATTTCTCTCCAATGGGTTAGATCAGTTATCCTCAACTTTGGTTGAAATTGTCAACATTTACATAGGGTTTACAAAATCATCTAGGTGATGAGTCCCATCATCTAGAAATTCTGATTTAATTAGAATAATTAATTTTAATTGAATTAGATAAGGCTGATACAGCCATATGTTTCAGAATTCTTTAGGTTTTGGAACATGCAGGCTGGATTGAGAGGCACTGACTTAAATAATTCAGAGATACAAATAAATGTAAACTGTATTGATAAGGCTGTTCACATATTTTCAACATACCAGGATAAAAATAAAAATCTCAAAACACTAAAACACAAGAATACCACAAAACAATACTAAGAGTAATAACAATTAAAACAAAACTTCTTTCAAAATTTAGGAAAGGAAACCCCAAGTAGAACAATTTAGGATGAATCTTGCTTCTATCTTTTCTACTGTGGAAAAGCAACATTAGCAGTGAACACTATGATATTCACTAGTATAGACACTTGGTACACATAGGAACATTAATTTTCTATTTCAAATGTTGAAACCAAGCCTCATACATATACAGGAAATACTTTAAGGCCAAAGAATAGATAAAGAACAAAGACAGTAACTAAGACCAGATCTGTCCCAAGTCCAAAATGTTTATTCTCTATATCTTCTTGTACATTGTTTTGTATTTGCCAAATAGATAAGTATAGAGCACTAGCTTTGTGAGGAGACAGAAACACCTCTATGTCTTCAGAACAGAGTAAAATTGTAATGACATTTTCTACTGCAGATTAATATGTGAAACTAGAAAAGAAATTTTAAGAAAAGAAAAGCTATACATGAAAAATAAATAAAAAATAAAAAACACAGAAAACAAAAAAATACTGACAAAATTGCATCATTCTTAAAAAATAAGCTCTGAAAATAAATGAGGAGTATTTCTAATTTAACACATTTTCTCCTTTTTTGTGCATATATGCAGAGCTGGGGATCAAACCCAGAGCTTCATGCATACTAGGCAAGCACTCTACCACTGAGCATATCTTAGATCCTACTTTTTTTATAGCTTTAGCAGTTTTCTTAAATGGTGAATTTAGTAGCTGATGAGATATAAATTTCTCACCCAGGGTAGATGGTCAGCATGTCATTAGCATATGTCAATACTAATGTATTCTTAACTTCCCTAAAGATAGGAACCATGTTCTCAAATTTAAATGAACAAATTTTAAAATACGAATAAAGAAAAGGAAAACATTTAAGTCTCTGATAAGGGGAAATATACTCTATATTTAGGTTCACTATAAAAATTGATAAGAAAAAAATAAACTAAACAAGAAAGGAAGCGCTGGGTCATTTTTCCTTATTACTCCAAAAAGATGATTGCATATATTCATATTTTTATAAGACAACTTGTTTAATCCATCTTAAAAAGATACTTACTTCATATATTGTTAACATATATTATTATTGTTAAATATATTGTTAAACATGGATGTTTCCAATGCTTTAAAGAATGCAAAGAATACAAAACATTTTAAAAAACGGTATTTAAAATGTTGGTAGAAATGCATTTGACATATTAAAGTAAGCAAATAAACTCAAGTGTAGTACTTTCCTTAATTATAATATTACACATTTAATTGCTCAGAAAGTAATTTTCATTTTATAGTTTTTAATCGATACTTTTTAGTGCTATGTCAGTGTATGTTCACATATGTGCATATGTATATGGCTGCAAGCAACAATCAACTCATAAGTACATCTATTTACTCTGGTGATTAGCTCATGATTTCTTGCTTTTTTTTCTTTTCTCTTTTGGTCTCAGCAGAATTAGCATAAATGAAGATAAATAAAATAATTCTTACAAAATAATAATTCTTACAAAATAATTCTTGCTTTCATTAAAAAAACTTTGAATAATTTTTGTAACTTCATACTCTTGAAAAGGATTAAGGGAAAGGTTCATTACATACCATAATCTGTGATTTTACAGGACACCAAATATAGCTCTTTCAGATTCCGTCCTTCCTTTGCAATGACTTCTACACACCTGAAACACACAAAAAAGTCATGAGTTACACTAATGCATTCCAAGTTAAATTTGCAAGGATCTGGCCATGAATACAACAGCAAGAGGTCAGCCTTTGATGAATGCCATAGCTCTCTTTCAACAAACCTCTTTAAAGGTGTTTCAGGAAAAGTATTATATTCTCCACTCTAAATTTAAGTGCTCTAATTCCTAAAGGTCTTTAATAAAATGTTTATGATCAGTGCATCTTTTAAAGCCAACGTGAAGAAAAAGTTACATTCCTATGGTATTATTGTTATACTTGATTATAACAGACCAGCAAACATGCTATATAATGAATATATATCATTCAAATAAAATAATTATGATGAAATTGTAGACTACAGGTGGATGTCAGTATAGACGAATGCCAATATCATTCATAGTACAATTATTAATATTTAAGCTTGTTAACATTGAAATACATATTTCTGTGAAGATTTATTCAATATAAAACAAAAGTTTTAAAAAGCTCCAACATAAAGATTAAAATCTACACACTAAATACATTTAGTTTAATATGTTTTATGTGTAATATTTTAAATGAATTTTGTAGACTTTGGTCATTTTAATAATATGGATATGCGGGATTTAAAATGTTTTCTGCTCATTTAAATTAAAAGGTTTTTAAATAACATACTTTCCTCTAATAACCTTAGTGTAACCTATAGTACAGAATTAAATTAACATTTAAAGTAATGATTGACAACCTTACACATTCTGTGGCTCAGTTCCCTATAACATTAGAAAAAAACAGTATAGTCATACTGACACATAGGCTATGCATCCTCCAATGCAGTCTCTGTTTTAATCTTTATAAATAACAGTTAAGTAAAAGGGTAAAAGCAAAAACGGTCATTAACCTTTTCTAGAAAGAATCAAGCAATTTGATACCTATGTGTACAATCCATCAAAAATTACTCAGTATCCATCTCTGTCTCTCAGATATTTTATTTGCTGTCTGGCTTGTTTGTAGGTATCTTTATAAAATGTCAGGTTTTTTATACAATTTTACTCTACATAATTCATTTGTAAAGGTTAAATTAGTTATGGAGAAGATATATATTTCTTTTAAAAATATTTTATAGAATTTTGTTTTAATACAATGATAAAACACTTCAAGATTTCTAGAATAACCAAATAAATCTCATTGTTATAAAAAAGATGTGATAAAAATGGATAAGCAGAAAAGAAACAGAACACACAATAATCACATTTTATATATAACAACTAAGTTTCACATTCTAAGAATGAAGGCCCTACATGACTGTAACATCTTAAATATTTAAAACTAACCATTATCTGCAATATCAGATATATATATAT